GCTTCTCGGAGGGCCGAGGCGGCGGTGGGATCACCTTGAGGTCATGAGTTTGAGACCAGCCTGGCAACATGGCGAGAACCCCCATCTCTACAAAAAATACAAATTACCCGGGCGTGGGCACGCTGGCGACCTGTATCCCAGCTACTTCTGGGAGCTGAAATCAGGGAGAAATCGCTTGAACCCAGGAGGCGGAGGTTGCCGGTGAGCCGAGATCCACCACCACTGCACTCCAGCCTGGGCCGACCACAGTGAGACCTCCGTCTTAGGAGAAAAAAAAAAAAAAAAAGTAAGTTGAGACGGGAGGGGAAGAATTTCAAGCTTTTTCTAGGCCTGGTGGACTTTGTGGCTTTCGAGTAACACTGTCTTCCTGAAAATGGGCCAGGCCACACTACGATTCTCCCCAACACCACACAAAATAGGCCACATTGAGCGTGGGCTCCGCCGCTTGTGGATGTATTCCGCACGAAGAGCTGCCTTAGACAGGGCGTTCGCGGAGAACTCGCACCCGGTCGGTTTTCCTCATAGAATTTCCGGAGACCCCTGGTGTGCAGCCTGAGGGGGGTCTGCCAAAGGACAGGAGCCCTGGGGGTGAGCGCTGACGCCCAGCTTGTTCACCGCGGTGCCCTGGACAGTGGCTGCGGATGCTGTGCTGTGGAGGGTGTGGACTCGAGTGTTAGGTGCACAGTTGAGATATGGTTATGTTCATGGGGAAAGTGGGTCGTTCAGACAAGGGAAGAAGCAGAGGAGAAAGGGGGGTTGGCTGGACCATAGCGAGGTGAATTTGGGCTCAGGGACTTTAATGATGTTACATGTATTGGTCACAGATTCACCCAAGCCCTTATGCCCTTAGGAACGATGGAACTTTGTTTCCTTTTGTTTGTCATGTTGGAGAGCAGGAAGGTCTTTCTCTGGTGCACCTGGCCTCCCAAAGTGCCGGGATGACAGGCGTGAGCCACCGCGCCCGGCTTTGCCATGAAATTTTTAGACCCGGAAACTTTTCTCCCCGTCGTCACCTCTTAACCTTCCCCTGCCCACCCAGGGACAAAGCTGGCGGCTACGGGATCCAGGCCCTGGGCGGGATGCTGGTTGAGTCTGTGCACGGGGACTTTCTGAACGTCGTGGGCTTCCCGCTGAACCACTTCTGCAAGCAGCTGGGGGAGCTCTACTACCCACCCCGCCCGGAGGACCTGCGGCAGCCCGTCCGGCACGACTCCATCCCGGCCGTGGACACCTTCGAAGACCTCAGTGATGTGGAGGGGGGCGGCTCGGAGCCTGCTCAGAGGGAGACGGGCAGCCGCGACGAGAAGGCCGAGGTGGGAGCGGCCGGACAGGCCACGGCCGAGGCCGAGTGCCACAGGACTGGGGCGACCCTGCCCCCGTTCCCCACACGCCTCCTGGAACTGCTGGACGGCTTCAAACTATCAAAGGTACCTGTGTCTGTCTCCTCAGGTTGCTTTCACCGATAACCCCGCACACTCGGCTTGAATCAACAGTCCTGGAGGCTGGCAGTCTGAGGTCAAGTTCTCTCAGGGCCACGCTTTGTCCGAAGGTTCGAAGGGAGGCTCCTTCCTGCCTCTCCCAGCTCCTGGGGGCTCCAGGTGTCCCTGGGCTTGTGGCCGCATCACTCCAGTCTCTGCGTCCGTCTCCACGTGGCCTCCTCCCCTGTGTCTGTGTCTCCGTCTCCTCTTCTGTCTCTTAGAAGGACACCTGTCATGGGACTTGGAGTCCACCCTTCTTCATGATGATCTCCTCTTGAGATTATTAATTACATCTACCAAGACCCCTTTTTAAAACAGGGTCCCATTCACAGGTTCTGGGGATCAGGATATGGACAGATTTTTCAGGAGGACCACAGTTCAATCTACTCCAGGTGTGTCCAGTTCCCTCTGGAGGCTCTAGGGGAGGATCCTTCCTGCCTCTCCCAGCTCCCGGGGGCTCCAGGCATCCCTGGGCTTGTGGCCGCATCACTCCAGTCTCTGCCTCCGTCTCCACGTGGCCTCCTCCTCTGTGTCTGTGTCTCCTCTTCTGTCTCTTACAAGCACAGCTGTCATTGCATTTAGGGGACACCCAAAATCCCAAATGCAACAAATTGAAAATCCATTTTGAGGTCCTTCATGTAATTGAATCCACCAAAGACCCTGTTTCCAAGTCAAGTCCTATCCAGAGGTTAGGGGGTTCTAGGAGTGAGGACATGAACATATGTTTTAGGGATCACCTTTCAACCCACTGCAGTTGTGTTTGGTTCCTTCTGGAGGCTCTAGGGGAGGCTCCTTCCTGCCTCTCCCAGCTCCTGGGGGCTCCAGGCGTCCCTGGGCTTGTGGCTGCATTACTCCAGTCTCTGCGTCTGTCTCCACGTGGCCTCCTCCTCTGTGTCTGTGTCTCCTCTTCTCTCTCTTAGAAGAAGACCTGTTGTTGGGTTGAGGGCCGTGATCCAGGATGATCTCATGTCAAGATCCTTAACTTGATTACATCCGCAAAGACCCTATTTCCAAATAAGGTCTCATTCCAGGTCCTGGACTTTAGGATGTGGACAGATCTTTCTGGGGGCCGCTGTTCCATCTGGTATATTCTGTTCCTTCTAGGCCTCTAGGGGAGGATCCTTCCTGCCTCTCCCAGCTCCTGGGGGCTCCAGGCGTCCCTGGGCTTGTGACCGTATCACTCCAGTCTCTGCCTCCGTCTCCACGTGGCCTCCTCCTCTGTGTCTGTGTCTCCTCTTCTGTCTCTTACAAGGACACCTGTCACCGGATTTTGAGGCCTCCCTAATGCACTGACTCCAATTCATCTGAAGTCCCCTAGCTTACTTACGTCTGCAAACACTCTTTTTTTTTTTGAGATGGAGTCTGGCTCTGTTGTCCAGGCTGGAGTGCAGTGGCGCCATCTCAGCTCACTGCAAGCTCCGCCTCCCGGGTTCAAGCGATTCTCCTGCCTCAGCCTCCTGAAGGGTTTCGCCATGTTGGCCAGGCTGATCTTGAACTCCTGACGTCAGCCGATCCACCCACCTCGGCCTCCTAAAGTGCTGGGATTACAGACGTGAGCCACGACGCCCAGCCTGAGGCCCCATCTTTCAGCCGTTCTGCAGGTCTGGGCTCCCAGGGTCCCCTCACGGTGCACAGCAGACCGAGAAGGGATGCAGCCCTCCCAACACCAGGGGTCCCTTACAGGGCAGCCTCTGGGAAGCAGAGGTGGGGATGTCAGGTGCAGGAGGGGCGCAGGTTTTGGGGAGACAGGGAGACCGGGCTGACACCTCCTGTCAGTCATTCATCATCATCAGGAGAGAGAACATGCGGTGAATAAGGAATAAAGGTAGTTACGGCACATTCCATCTCTGTCTCTAATTTACTGAGTGGCGATTATTAAATCACCACCGGATGGATTATAAACAACAGACATGATTCTCCCACAGTTCTAGAGGCTGGAAGTCTGAGATCCAGGTGTGGGCAGGGCTGGTTCCTCCTGAGGCCTCTCTCCTGGGCTTGGAGACGCCGTCTTCTCCCTGTGTCCTCACAGGGTTGTCCCTCTGTGTGTGTCTGTGTCCTCATCTCCTCTTCTTATGAGATGTCTCAGTCCATCTCAGGCTGCTATCACAGAATACCACAGACTGGGTGGCTTAGAAACAACAGACATTGATTCTCCCACAGTCCTGGAGGTTGGAAGTCTGAGATCCAGGTGTGGGCAGGGCTGGTTCCTCCTGAGGCCTCTCTCCTGGGCTTGGAGACGCCAAATTCTCCCTGTGTCCTCACAGGATCATCCCTCTTTGTGTGTGTCTGTGTCCTCATCTCTTCTTATAGGGACCCCAGTCCTATTGGATTAGGCTCCACCCAAATGACCTCATTTTACCTGAATCACTTCTTTCAAACCCTGCCTATGCATACCGTCACATCCTGACCTGAGGGACTGGGGGTCTTAGGGGTGCAACATACGGGTTTGGAACTCAGCCCATATCTGCAGCACGTTGATTCTTCTCCCACGGGCTGGTTTTTCTGCATGATATTCATCGATGTGCTTTTACCTTGTGTACGCCTTGTTTTACAGCTGGAGACTTGATCCTCCAGATCCCCAGCGTTCTCTGTAAAAGAAGGCTCGGTGGCCCCGTGGAATACTTTCGACAACATTGGTCTGCGTCTTTTGGGTCTGCGGGAGTCAAAAGTACTCGACAAGTGACTTCATGGGTCTCTCTGCGCTTGTTTTGTAACAGGCCCTGCTCACTGCTTGCAAGCTGAAGGTGTTTGATTGGTTAAAAGATGAAGCACCCCAGAGGGCTCCAGATATTGCCAGCAAAGTGGATGCCTCTGTGTGTGGAACGGAGAAGCTTCTGGACGTCTGTGCTGCCATGGGGCTCCTGGAGAAGACAGAGCAAGGTGATAGGACCCAGCGGGTTTTGCTCTGACGATCTTTACAGGTAGAAGTCACTGAGGGCAGGTGACCTGGAGCCCAGGCAGAGCGAGGAAGGAGGGCCAGACTTTCTATCCCTCTGCCCTCGGGAACGCTGCTTTTCCCAGAAGGGGGAGAAGCAGAGGGTGAATGAGAGAGGGGGAACAGTGGTGGCCGCGAGCACGCCGGAGAAGGGTGACGTCCTTATGGCCTCTAGTCTCAAAGGGGCTGTATCAGTCCATGTTCTCCTGAGAAACAGAACCCAGTAGGGTGTGCACACAGACATTAATTTACTTGCCTATTGATGTTTATGGACAGATAAGGTGGGTGGATGGGTAGACAGATACATAGATAGATGATAAATGCATAGATACCTTGATATAGATTGACGATACAGAGATGACAGATACATAGATGATGGGAAGAATTGATAGATATATAAATGGATGGATGGATGGATGGATGGATGGATGGATGGATGGTTGGTAGGTGGATAGATGGATGAGAGGAAGGATGAATGGATGGATCGATCAATGGATGGATGGATGGGAAGGTGGATGGATTGGTGGATCAGTGGATGGGTGGATGGATAGATGGATGGACGGATAGACGGATGGATAAATGAAAGGGTGGGTGGATGGATGGATCGATGAATCGGTGGATGGGTGCATAGATGGGTGGGTAAGTGGATGGATGGGTGGATGGATGAGTGGGTGAGTGGATGGGTGGGTGGATGGATAGATGGATGGATGTGTGGATGGAAGGATGTGTGGAAGGATGTCTCGATGGAGGGATAGATGATTGGATGGGTAGGTAGGTGAATGGATGTGTGGATGGATGGATGAGTAGGCATGTAGATGGGTGGGTGGGTGGGTGGGTGGATGGATGGATAGATGGATGGATAAATGAAAGGGTGGGTGAATGGATGGATCGATGAATTGGAGGATGGGTGCATAGATGGGTGGTTAAGTGGATGGATGGGTGGATGGATGAGTGGGTGAGTGGACGGGTGGGTGGATAGATGGATGGATGTGTGGATGGAAGGATGTGTGGGTGGATGGGTGGATGATTGGATGGGTACGTGGGTGAATGGATGTGTGGATGGATGGATGAGTGGGCATGCAGATGGGTGGGTGGATGGATGGATGGATACAATGGATAGATAAATGAAAGGATGGGTAGATGGATGGATGGATCAATGAATCGGTGGATGGGTGCATAGATGGGTGGGTGAATGGATGTGTGGATGGATGGATGAGTGGGCATGCAGATGGGTGGGTGGATGGATGGATGGATACAATGGATAGATAAATGAAAGGATGGGTAGATGGATGGATGGATCAATGAATCGGTGGATGGGTGCATAGATGGGTGGGTGGGTGGATGGATGAGTGGGTGGGTGGACGGATGGACGGATGGATGGATGGATGGATGGATGCATGTATGTGTGGACTGATGGATGAGTGGGCATGTGGATGGGTGGGTGAATGGATGGATGAGTGGATGGATGGATGCAATGGCTGGGTAGATGATTGGGAGTGTGGGTGAACAAATGAGTGGGTGGACAGATGGATGGATGGATGGATGGATGGATGGATAGATGGATGGATGGATGGATGGATGGATGGATGGATGGATGTGTGGATGGATACATGTGTGGATGGATGGATGAGTGGGCATGTGGATGGGTGGGTGAATGGATGGATGAGTGGATGGATGGGTGCATGGCTAGGTAGACAATTGGGAGTGTGGGTGAACAGATGGGTGGGTGGGTGGACGGATGGATGGATGGATGGGTGGATGGATGGATGGATGGATGGATGGGTGGATGGATGGATGGATGAGTGGGTGGGTGGATGGATGGATGGATGGATGGATGGATGGATGGATGGATGGATGGATGGATGTGTGGATGGATGGATGTGTGGATGGATGGATGAGTGGACATGTGGATGGGTGGGTGAATGGATGGATGAGTGGATGGATGGGTGCATGGCTGGGTAGATGATTGGGAGTGTGGGTGAACAAATGAGTGGATGGATGGATGGATGGATGGATGTGTGGGTGGATGGATGTGTGGGTGGATGGATGAGTGGGCATGTGGATGGATGAGTGGAGGGATGGGTGCATGGCTGGGTAGACGATTGGGAGTGTGGGTGAACAGATGGCTGGGTGGGTGGGTGGATGGATGGATGGATGGATGGATGAATGGGTAGGTGGATGGGTGAGTGGGTGGATGGATGGATGGATGAGTGGAGGGATGAATGGGTAGGTGGATGGGTGGGTGGATGGATGGATGGGAAGATGATTGGGTGGATGGATGGATGGAGGCGTGGCTGGATGGATGGATGGATGGATGGATGGATGGATGGATGGGTGGATGGATGGATGATGGATGGGTGGATGGATGGATGGATAGATGGATGAGTGGATGGATGAACAGGTGGATGGATGGATGAATTGGTAGGTGGATGGGTGGGTGGATGCATGGATGGGGATGGATGGATGGGTAGGTGGATGGGTGGGTGGATGGATGGATGGGAAGATGATTGGGTGGATGGATGGATGGAGGCGTGGATGGAGAGATGAATAGATGGGTAGGTGAATAGCTGGATGAATGGGTGGGTGGGTGGATGGATGAAGGATGGAGGGATGAACCATTGGGCGCCTTAGCAGTGACTTGTGTGCAAACCAGGGTGATT